AATTTATCTCTAGAGAGGCGAAACTCTTCAAATATAAGGAACAAGGGGACAGCGCGAGCTTGAATAAAATTTACTTTTTGACAACAGTAAAACAACAGTCGTTTAACTTTTCGTATTAGCGTTGATTCTAGAGCCTTTGTTTTCAAATATCGTTGTGTTTGCAAAATTGTACGGGCCAGACAACTATCCTTGTTGACATTCTCTTTCTGTTAGTATCTACAATTTTCACATCCATTTCTCAAGAAGATATATGGCTTGGATATTGTCTTTATTTTACTTGATAGCTCCAAGATGAAACGACGGTAAAATAAATGTTGCAATTTTCGTGTCACCTGTAAACAAACTCCTTGAAACTGTATGTAGATTTAAAAATTCTTTTATGTCTTTATTTTGCTCTATCAATGTTGCATTTTATTTAACGCTCGACGTTGAGCGTTGCCATAAACGTTGCAAACAGTGAGGGTACCGTTAGATTATGCCGCGAAGTTTAATCGAAACATTTTTATCCCTCTATAAAGTGAAGGCGGGAAATGTGCAATAAACACGACCAGTATACAACTTTTCAGTTATGAAACCATAATATTCTTCGCTAGAATTTCCAGACAGAGTACGAATAATCCTACTTGGAGAACTTTCTAATAACGCTCTGCTCTTTAGATTCATTGCACCTTGCAGAAAAATTTCAAAACTTCTCCCTGAGACTTAAGAGATGTTTGTGGAACTTTTAGAATGACATTAATCTTAGTAATTTCTCACCAGATTTGAAGGCGTTGGCTTAACACTTTGCGTTTTCGGATTAAAAGTTTTAATCGGCAGATAGAGTTGAGATAAGTGACTTCATTAAGAATCGAAGTGTTCGATATCTTTATAAGTTTTAAGAAACTAATGATGTAATAATACTTTTTGAGGGTTCCACGAGTCAAGCAAAGAAAAATAATACTCTTTGTAATTAAATTATTCAATGTAAAAGGTAAAAAAGCGCAACGTTGTTAAGTTCAAAAGTTGAGGATCTTCTCAGCGGGACATTGCCGACACAGTCTTAATGAACTTATGATAAAGAACTTCATTTTCAAGAAATTCACTCCAAATAAAGCAGAAATTTTGGGTAAATGTTTTGATTTAATAAAATCCGTTGGACCGTGATGAAGGAGAATTTCGTTTTACATTTCAACATTTCCTAAATGTATTTTGAATGGAATTAAGCAAAGCTGCGTTTTAACAGTTAATGGTAAGATTTTACAAGAATTTACAAAACTATTATTTACTTGTTACATTTTCAAAAATAATTCTTGATATTCATATAAGAAAGTATAAGCTATATCTATTCCACCTGAGTGAAACTAGGTCCTTAGTGAACACAAATTTTGCAAGACTTGAAAATAGAGAAGGGATTTAGCTCAAAATGAATAAAGTAGGTAGAATTGACAATCTTACAAAATGTGTGTGTGTACGTATTTTATTTTTTTTATTAAATATAAATAATGCTGGCGCTAAAATTATATTCGACGCATTAATACATTTTTCCAAGAATTTGAATGAAGTTAACTGTGTAACCGATACATAAAATAAACTACAAGGTATACGTACAAAACTTTAAAACATAAGTGCATAGAGAAACAAGAAAACCAAACATTGACTTCTTCTTTGTTCTCAATTTACTCCCTCGAGTAAAGGCGTACTTACAAATTCCCTTCATGAAGACAAAACTTTTAAAGTTGAAAATAGAAAATACAAAAACAGACGCAAAATAACGAAGTGTACCTGCGTATAATGTTTAAATATTTTTTTAAGTTTAAGGACTTAATATGCTATTCATCATGTGTTTAAATCATTTATTCCCAAAAAGACAATAAAGCCACTTACATGAGAATACAAAATTAACATTTAGTTTAATTATCAAATTACCCGCCACCGAGATAAGTAAGTAAACACTGTTTACGTAACACAATCGTAACATCATTAGAGACTATTAGTAATTTCTTTAGCCGGTAGGGTAGTAAAACAATAACAGCGAAAAAAATGCAAAGTGTTAACCAGGTAGGTAGGCACCCGCTCAACATTTTTTTTTTTTTTTTTTGTTTTTATTCATTTATATGACTCGACTGGATCAATGCAACTTTGGATAAGAAAAGTGTTCTATTATATAATTAGACAGTTGAGATTTAAAAATGTTGAACGAGCTTACATTTTTTATATTAGGCGGTAAATTATTATAAATATTTGCTCCTTCATAGGTGATGTTTCTTTTGGAGTAGTTTGTACGAGGTCTAGGTAATACAAGTAAACTAGGGCGACGCCTGCTACGTTTAGATACCTCCGAAATTTTAGTAAATGATAAATTGGTTTTAATTTTTTTGTCTAAAATTTTTCTTATTAGAATACAAGTGGTATACATGTAAAGTTGTTTAATATTCATCAATTTGGTTTCTTCAAAAATTTTATAAGTAGGTGTCAAATGTGGATAGCGAAATAATATTTTAATGATCTTGTTTTGTACTCTCTGTAATTCTTGCAATTTTGTTTTACCTGCGTTGCCCCAAATTTCTATTAGGTAAAGTAAATGTGATTTAACAACAGAGTTATAAATGGTAAAACGAATATTTTTGGGTATACAATTTCTTATGTTGTAGAGGCAACCAGTGAGCGATGAGAGTTTATCTTTAATATAATCTATTTGGTTGTTCCAATTAAGATTGCTATCAATTTTTAAGCCAAGGTATTTTTCACACTGTTTTTGTGTTAGCGGAATGTTATCAATAGTTAATGGTCTATGATCTGGAATCTTTTTGTTTTTAGGTTTAAATATAATAAAACATGTTTTTGAAATATTAATAGATAATAAATTACATTGGAACCACTCGAATAATAGATCCAAATCGTCTTGAGCCTTTGAAATGATGTCATGTATGTTTTTTCCAAAATAAAATAAGCAAGTATCGTCGGCGTATAAAGTTATATGACCATGAATATTAAGTGCTGCAATCTCATTTATGTAAGTCAAGAATAATAGCGGCCCCAGTATGGATCCCTGGGGTACTCCGTATGTGACAGGTAGAGCACTACTTACAACTTCATTTATCTTAACTATCTGTTGTCTGTTAGTTAAATAAGATTTTAGCATTTTGAGTGCGTTTCCTTGGATACCAGCATGTTCAAGCTTGTTTAAAAGTAAAGTATGGCTTACAGTATCGAATGCTTTTTTTAAATCAATGAATACACCCAGAACAATGTACCCTTTATCTATATTGTCTCTGATTTTTGTTACTAGATCTATTGTAGCTATTGTGGTATTATTTTTAGGTCTAAATCCATATTGGCGATCTGATATAAAGTTAATGGAATCAAAATAATTCAGTAGGCGACTATGTATAAGTTTTTCTAATATTTTGGACATGACTGGCAGTACAGAGATCGGACGATAATTACCAGGGTCGGACTTAGGTCCAGATTTGTATATAGGTGATACTTTTGCAACCTTAAGGGAGTCGGGAAACTCCCCGTCATTCATAAGTTTGTTAAAGCATTTCGCCAGCATATCAGAGATTAGATTTTGTAAGTTTTTTACAATTTTAATGCTGATTTTATCTATACCACTACTAGAGTTGGCATCAAGGTCTTTGATAATTTTTATAATTTCTTCAGCATTACATGGCTGCAGTGTTGTAATTGAGTGACTTCTGGCATCGTGTAGTTCATTCAATTGTAATACTTTAGAACAATTATGAAATTTTCTAGGTATTTTCTCCGCAAGTATTGACCCTATGGTTGAAAAATATCTATTAAAAAGTTCACATATTTTCTTTGTGTCAGTAACAATGTCAGAATTTACAATAAGTTTCGAAGGAGCACTATTTTGATACATTTTATTGGTCGCTAAATTGTTTATAAGTGTCCACATTTTTTTAGGAGTGTTAGTATATTTATTAAATAGATTATAGTAGTAGGTGTTTTTAGTAAGCTGTATTAATCTAGCAATTTCATCTCTGATTTTTTTAAACTCAATTAGTTTTGTCTCGTTTTCTTCATCCTTCTTATGCTGCACCCACAGGTAGTTTCTCAAGTTGATCCCGATAATTATTTCGTTATTAACCCATTCCTCTCGTGGTGGATTCACGATTTTAGTTCTGGAATTTGTATTTCTTTTAATGCATTGTATTAACGTAGTCTCTAGTTCTTCATAACTGTTAGCAGCTTTTGCTAGTCCAAGTGATTCAACAGTAATGTATAATTTGTTGTAATCTATGGTTGTATAGTTAAGTCGTAGTTTAGGAGGTTTCCACTTTTTTAGTTGTAGATAGATTTGTTTGTGATCTGAGAAAGACGAGTTGATGATTGCAAAATTATATTCTTCATTGTTCAAGTTTGTGCTTACGTGGTCCAGGATAGATTTCCTTGTAGTTGAATCCCGTGTACAATAGGTTTGGTTGACTTTATTAAGTATTTTATGTCCTGATTCTTGTAGTCTCTGTTTGTACCTTTTTAATGTTTTGTTTTTAGATAATAAATCGATGTTAAAATCACCAAATACTATTGCTCGTTTTCGTACTTGTAATTGTAAATCATATGTATCCAAAAATTTCTCAATATTGGTGTCTCCAGGATTATAAACAACGCCAACCTCAATAGCAAATTTCTCCAGATATACCCATAAGTAATTGTTTCCATCTTGATAAGTAGATTGAGTGAGATTGTGTTTTAAATCATTGTGTATATAGGCCGATACTCCACCTCCTCTAATATCTGTTCTATAATTGTAGTAGTGTGTATAATTAGGTATTTGTAGCTGTAAGGCCTGGGTATCATTTTGTATCCATGTTTCTGTAAGTACTATGATATGCACTGTGGATATGGCCTTTATGATACATTTTAGTTCATCAAGCTTGCCTTTTTTACATATGCTGCGTGCATTTAAGTAAAGAAATGATAGGCGGGATTTTTGAGTATCCAATTGCTGATAATCGTGCACTATTTGGTATGTTATAGGTTTAATAGTATGATTGCTACTCATTGGGCATTGGAGTTTTTTGGATTTTGCTTTATAATGGTAGGCATACCGTTGATGTATTTAATTATAAGGTTTGTTTCTCCGTGTTCAGTCCGGCGTGCTAGTTCGCACTTAACAGTCTGAAAATATTTTTGCTGGGAGGGCGTTTGGTCCGAGTATAATTTAATATTGTCGGGTAATTTTCCCTTGCTTCGTAGTAATAACATCACTGGTTCAGGATTGTTAAAGCAGACTTTTATTCCGCGCGTTTTACCGACACTGTACTTTCCAATACGAAATATTTTGTACGGTTTCGTTATGTTCGAATTTATGCTTGTAATAACATTTAAAACATCAGATTCATCTTTGAGAATTCTCTCCTGTGTATTAATGCAGACCTGCTCCGATATACCGACTATGATTATATTATTTTGTCTCCTATTTCGGTCTTGGATTTCACGAAATATTTGTTCATTAACGGACAGTTCACTATGTGAGGAATGAGGGTCCAATTGTATTTTACTTATATTTGTTTCCAGGTTCTGTATTTTGTTCTGGTTGTTTACAATCTTGTTTTCAAACTGGGTAAGTTGACTTTTAATGTGACACTGTTCAGTAGTAAGCTGTGTGGTGGTGGATTGAACATTTTGTATTTGTGCAGTAATGTCCGCCGCATTAGATTTAATCAAAGATTTCGTTTGCTCATACGACGTTCGTAAGTCGACCAATTCGCTCTTTACCTCGACGATACTTGCATTCATTTCCTTTATCATTTGTGCATTCGAATCAATATATTTTTCTAACAGAGATGAGACGCGCGATAGATCGCTTCTCATTAGTTTAATTTCTTCGGAACACAAACAATCATGCCCTATCCGTTCTAAATTACGTTTACGGTAAGTTATTTGCGCTTCGTTTAGTTCTTCGCTTATCTTAGATAAGTCGGGTTGTGAGCCCGTACCAGTAACATAATTTGTCGTCGAGGGTGTACTTAACAAATTGTCCGTCTTGGATTGAGTAGCCGTTGAAGGACGTGCAGTATTCATTATTTGTTATAACTTTAATAAATACCTGTCACTGACGTTAATAATGCAGGTAGGCGTAAATAGTTGCAGCGCCTAAACGCAGTGTCCCAGTGTGAGCGAGCCAAAAAATGGCGACTGTTCTTGTCTCGCGGAGGTGAAGCAGGGCACCGCGCAAGCACGCAGCGCACTGTGGCAATATCTCGTCACTTTCACTTATTTGTATAAGGTCACTAATCACCTCAAAATGTTCACGGCACAATAGTTATTATTACTGTGATAGAAGTATTATATTTGCTGAGCACTTAATAAACAGATTTAATAAAATAGAAATACGTCTGCTCTCGGTGACAGTACGATGTTATAGTAAGTGGCTTTATTGTCTTTTTGGGAATAAATGATTTAAACACATTCATCATCATTATCATCAACATGAGCCATTTCAAAGAACTGCCTGAACGATTTTTACATATGACCGCAATGTTTTTTTATTCAACCTGTTAGTAGAAGGGTAAACTAAAACTGGCCTGGTCTTTGTTTTGAAGTTGAGCGGGCGGTTAATATAAAATGACTTCTTTCGATGAAGATTCATCGTCCGAATGCAGGGAGCTGTGACATCGCATCCTCAGTCTGCTTGTGACCACGACCTGTGCAACCAGGTCGAAACGTCAAGCCTACCGAGGTATTTAAATAATTATTTTCAGCATTTATTCCCGCGGAACTATATGTTATAAGTATAACGGCCGATCCAAATGGAAGGTTACGTTGGTGTTGTACCGCGATCCGCACAAAAATATAATCACAAATAAACGACTACCTAAATTAGAACTAGGTCTATAATGGGATGACTTATTTAGCTATTTATATAGTCGATGGAAGTATATCCATAAAACTTTCCAGCATATTACAAAATATTTCAAGAATATTCCCAGTATAGCAAGCTCTCAAGTTGATGTATCGATACAAGCATTGGTGTTGCCTAAACTAGTCTATACCAGATTTAGCACTTATCCCTAAAAGGTAGGAGAAAACTATTTTCCAGTTCTTGAAAAATATACGTATTAAGACCTTATAATATTGATATTAAGGTATCATTTGAAATATAGATTAGATTTTTAGATTTCATTCACGTTGCTCTAGAAACACCTTTGTTATTTGTATGTACTTGGACATACATTAGTTTTAATCTATTAATATTTTTGTTGAATAACATATTAATATGAATAATTGTGTACCTCCAGTACTTATTGTAATTTTCTCCTTTTTCTTCTTCTTCTTATATGTAAACATGAATTGCGGTTTGTTAGTTCCGCAAAAACTCGGAAACGACTGGATCGACTTAATTAATTCTGGTCTTGAAATGTTTTTTCAAGCATGTTAGTTGGTAGAGAACACATGAAGAGATTTCGATAATATTAAGCAACATAACTATGTAACACTCGTGTGACGCAGGGGCAGAACAATAGTTAATTATAAAAATCAAAACAAACAATGATTATTCCAAACGACTTTAAAATTTTAATGCACGTTATATTTAGACGTATACACAAATTGAACCATGATTTAACCTTAACAGGAGATTGGATGGAGCGCGGTATACTTAGGTGAAGTTGAAATATAAAGGTGGTTTCATCCGCTTCGTTCAGCCAGCGTTGCCCAAAGTGTTTAGGGAAAGAGGGATCTCTAGGGAACAAGAATGCGATGGGCATTTGGTAATTAATAAGATGGCTATTAGATCGGCTGTTTCTCACTAATTGAAAAGGAAATATCTGTGTTTGTGTTCTACATAATTGAATGATAAATTGGAGAATGATTGATTGGGTATAGATTTATTATTTCGTAAAAAATTAGATAATTCAAAATGATGTGACTGGATTACCCAAGGACGAAAGACCCAAGACCCAAGAAAAGTGTAAAAGGTTAAAAATTAAACCCTATAAAAAGCTAAAAAATTGCCAGTAAACTGAGTGTGTAACAATCCTATCACACCTAACAAAATATAAGATAACCTTGAAGACCCGAACCGATTTCCACCAAAACATAAGTAAGAACACTTTCGACGAATAAATCCATCAAATAAAAAAAAACCGCATAAAAATCGGATCCTCCGTTCACAGACAGCCACATACACTAACAGACACGTTAAACTTATAAGACCACGTCCTTTTTGCGTCGGGGGTTAAAAACTATACTAAACGGTAACACTATACAAACCACTGAAAGTATCGTTGGGTAAAAATGCATAAAACAAGATTGAGATACTCTGAGCTCCGCTGTCCTGCATTCACTAAACATGACCTTTTAATCAGTCACTATCATTTGTAAGTCTGTATTCATTGTGAATTCAGCAAAACGAGATACGGTAACTGATATTAATACTGCAAGTCGTCTTTAGTGCTATCCACTTTTGCAAGAATCCTAGAGGGAATATTAGGTTACAGTTAGAGATATTTATTTTCAACTCTAGACCTAATCGTCAGTTGGATTTTTAGAATAGCTATATTCAAGAATTCTTTCGTGTTCGATTCTTAAATTGATAAAACCGTTTATTATTTTTTAGATAGATAAAAAGAATTTACTTTTTTGTACAGTATTTGGTACAAGTTATACAATAAGCAGCCACTCAGGGCCATAAAATGTAGACAACCTAAGACTTTCGATAAAATAATCTTCATATATTACTGCATTCTATAAATTTTAACTTAAATTTTAGTTTCAAGTAAGTATCGACTCGCACCAGCTTGCTCGAGTGCAATAGTAATTCTAAATTTCTGCACTATTTATTGGATGTTATTATAATATACATACATATACCATCCTCTTAAATCACTCTATTTATTAGTAATCCGCATTAAAATCCGTTGCATAGTTTTAATTAAAGATTGTAGCATGCATAGGAACATAGGAACAGAGAAAGCGACTTTGTTTTATACCATGTAATTATAATGAAGTTATTAAACATTAATGGCACATTACAAAGGTGGAGTCGTAATCGAAAACCCGAATAAAATAATTTGCCAGGTCTGTGAATCGAGCTCAGCAGCTTCACGACATTTTTATTTTATTGAAAAATCGTTAACGTAATTAACGTTTTCTCGATAAACCGGTGCACCATTTGGAGTAAGTAAGCCACGCGTAAGCGACAAAATTTCTCTTAATTAAAACGCTGACTTTGAAAAGTTTTTGTCTCAAAATTTTAAATCTTCTTTATTATCTCACAGTGTGATGGAAATTTTATTCCAATTCTTTCTAACTGGCATTGCCCAAGAAAATAATCACCTTATTAGTTTGCTTCTCATAATATAAAATTACGATATCTAATCGAACTTTATAAACGGGTTTATAAAAAACTATCTAATCTCGCGCGGTTTCATCCGCTGCTCGGCTCCATTTAATCGTAGCACGATGTTTTATAGCCTATTAGCCTATAGCACTCAGGAACATTGTAGCTTTCTATCAGTGAATAGAAAGAAGAGAATTTTAGAAAATAATTTTGGCAATCTGACCAGCGGTTCCAAAGATAACCCCCTACATACAAATTTACAAATTTTACTTCTTTATAATATTAAGCATAGATATAGATATCAAATAATGATGACGTAAATTGTCAAACCCTCATAGTTAAGTCAATATCAGAAATAGTTTTGACGTATACTTTTCTATATTCAAATTGAGTTGGCAATGTTTTGTCCCTATGGAATAACGCGCATGAACAGCTAAGTTTAAATTGAAACGTCATCCATAATATTTGTATACAGTTGCTTGCAGATTATGTAAATAGTTGTTTCCATAAGACCCGAAACTAAGTAATTAAGTAGGAGATAGAGAGGTACTTGTACTACATCATAGTCTCGCTTTGAAACTGTTTATAATAAAGTAGTACTTCAACATTGGAGGATGAATGGTCCTCAACTAGAGTAATGGTGTAATTGAAAACCTTACTGTGTATATTTACTTATTAGAATAAATAAAAGTGCGACAATTACAAAGGTTTATATCAAATAATATAAAATTAAAACAATTTAATTAAAATAAAACCTTACGTAGTTCCCTTAGATCTTTATTCGAAACACTTGATTTTTATGTAAGAACGAAGAACCTTTTCGTAATATATGCTTGTATCCCTTTAAGATACATCTACTAATAAACTAGACCCCTATACAACCCAGATGTTAATCGTGGTGTATATAAAGGGATAAATCGATAACCAAGGACGATGGAATTGGTATAGGCCCTTGAGAAAAAAGGTATACGCCAAACAAATAGAGCGTATAACGTCATATCATAAATCCCACTTACTTTGCTACTATCCAACGATTTAGAACTAACTCGTAGTTATAAATTTTCGGATACGCTACCGAAATAGTCTGCGGCGAAGGCCTGGTGTGCAGCCAAACAGATGAAATGTAGCCCTGTCGACGCTCCATTAGGAATTAATGGGCCGATCCAAGAAATGTCATCTTCCGGTAAATACTGGTCATAATTCATTTTATAGTTGACAAGCACAGGGTTCGGTTTTGGCGAGATCCTCGAACAAAAACAACGGGTGACCTGCGAATGAAAGTGGTCCATTCAATAAATACGTGGCTAAAATATTGCAATATTAAATTTATTTAAAATTACGACTTACTCATAGAATTAACTGAGAAAAGCACTACATTTAGTATATTTTAGTTGTTGGTGTTGGGCGGCAACAATGGCGTACCATCAGGTATAATGATTCCATTTCTGACCTATACAATAAAAAATGTCTTCATCAAATCTAGTTTTTACTTTAGTATTCAATAATAACTATTAGTATTGAAGGGATAATATGAATTGGAACTGTACAAAAAAAAACGTTTTAATTTAAAATCATTACCATACATTAATAGTTAATAACCACAATACAAATCCACAATAATCCATTCCATCTACATGTACATAGATACAACGACCGCAAATAATTTATGGCATCTAATACGTTGCGCCCAATATCATTATAATTGGAGCAAATACATTCGCTATGTATATAAATTAATATACCATCAAAAGCTAATGTTCCGTGAGTGTTTACACTGGTTATGATTAATAGGCGATAATTGGAGAAGACATGCGTTAGTACTTAATCTATGAATTGCTAATATTGGCATTGCCAAAGGGAAC